ATTGTCGTAACTGCTGTAGGACGGATTGCCTTTGCCACGAATCAGTCGCAATATCTAAGAAAATAATATAATAAGGAATATTTTCTACGATTAATTTTTTTTTTATCTTTACATGCTCAGGCCATTATAGTTTTGCATTTAACTAATAATTAGTTTACATAGTTGTGGTTACTGGTTACATTGTAATTTTGCGAGCTTAAATTAAGTTATAAAATTGTGTTTTTTTTATAAATTGTATGATGTTGATAGTTGATTGTGATGGGTCCTAACCTAGTGCTTCTCCCGTCTCCGATCTGTTGTGATGTATGGTGTTTTTTCTTATGTCTTCGTATTTTTGACGACATTTAGTAAATGTGTTGACTGTGTAGACCCCTCGTCACGTTTCGCATATGGGTAGTTTTTTTTTGTCATGAGATGGTTGTTCGTGATGAATGTGTGTCCTTTTTACCACGATAGTTAGCCAAGTATACCTATAATATATTCTTAACATTTAAATTCCTCGTATCTTCTCGGGTATTGGCTGTGGTTTTACATAATATATTATAATCACCCTGTAGGTATAATATGTATTTAGGAATAATATATAATGCGATGGTAATAATATCATTACACCTACGCGCATATTAGGTATAAAATACTTGTGAGGTATCTATTTATTTCGTATTATAATAATATATCGTCGTCGATTCTTTTTTTATACTTTTGCGTAGACACTAAAGACACGCGGCCGGTGACGGGTGTAACGCAAAAACCGGGCGCGAGTCAAAGCRTATTTTATACATTGTATTATATTATATTTATATAGTACGTATATGCAATGTATAAAATATGTACTTTACCAATACATACCTAAGTATATACGTAGTATAATATATAAGTAGGTACGCGTACATAGCTCTCCCCCGCAGTCGTCGTCGGCTCTCGTCCAATTTGACGTATCACTCGCCTCCCACACGACACCACCCGGCTCGGACGATTTATGGGTTCGCGCAAACCGTACACAATTATTATTATTATTATTATCATTATCGTAGTCATACGCGAGATATACGTACGCCGCAGCCCGTGGAAATATATTATTTTATAGGGAAAACAATAATAATGGTAAATAAATAAACCTACCGGATACGGCGGAAACATGGGCGCAGCGGTATAATATACATATTATGTAGTTTATACATTATTATATCATACCTATATTATATTGCGCTCGTGTGCGCTCGTGTGCGCACGTTTCGTTTTCGTTGCAGCGGCAGTCGCAAAAAGTAAAAAGAAAATAAAACAGTCGCTAATATTTGAATAATTGATTGTGCCACCGCCGCCGCCGCCTCTGTCGTCGTCTGAATAATAATGTTGTTGTATAATGCGCTCGCCGAGGCTAAGTAAATATAATTTATAATAATATACCGTTTATTATTATTATTATTTTATATTATAGTGTCCCGTAACATTGCTGCGCCGGCGAAGTTCTTGAATGATTCATTCACACACACGCGTGCGCGCCGCCGCGATGAGTGGCCCCGTCGTAGTATTCACCTTACCGGTTTTCGCATTTTTCTGTCCTGCAAGTATAATAATATAAGTGTACCGTTTTCATTCAACTCTTCACTTTTGCACACTCTCGTCAGATCGTATTCACACGAATATTCGTAATGTCTGAAATATTTCAATTACTGCGGCTTGTATAATATAATAATTAATAATGGGTATACATATTTTATTATTTCCTCAGCTAATAACTGTTTCAACTTTCCATCATCGTTACGACTCGTCCCCCCTGTATTATTATAACATAATTATTCACATCCTGATCGATTACGAATCTACATTTTTTTATAATATGTAGTTTATATTCATAAAATTAGATAAAAAGCTCAATATATTTTATASGAGTATTTGTAGATGTTATGAAGAAAACACCGTTTCAATTTAAATAGTATTTGATATTTATTACCTATATCACGAAAAGTCTATACAAATTAAAGAATCATTAAATAACGTATATGCCTAATAGGTATCTATAGTTTCGGTTTTTAAGTATTCTAATTTATAATGGTATATTATTTATAGATACATGTTGTTTGTTTTGAAACTGTAAAAGTGGTATGCATATACAGCTGATATTCATTTGTGCTTGGGTGGCGTAGGTATATTATTGTTGCCATATTTACATTTTTAGTATAATACTTGGTCTATTTAGATAATTGCGGTCATTAAGTGTAAAAAACATTTATTGCGTAAAAAATTATAATATCTAATCATCATACCGACAAAACCCATCTACAGGTAACCACTTTCAATGATTATTTTACATTATAAATCGTGTTCTATCATGTGGATATTATAATCACGATGATAGTGTCTGATACGGTGCGGCCTCCTTACTCATGTTCTCATGTAGGATTACATTATACTTAAGTAGGTAAGTACTGTTTTTGACCAGTGTCTACATCTAGTGATCCTCTTAGCTCATCCCGCGGGGTCATGTCAATCTGTACAAGAGACCTTGACATTTCGACAGATGGGTTTTAGTGTTCGAGCGGACAACGACGAAAATAACATAGTATAGGTAATGATATTAAAATTATATCAAACTAAATATATATATATATATATATATATGGTTAGTTTTATTACGTCTCGCTGCGGGTTTTAGTCTTTGTCTCGACCAAACGAATATCTCCCAATAACGATTTTTTCCAACAAAGTCTCCACTATAATATAATATCTGTCCCTATCTATGGATTACACACAACAAAGCCGACAAGAAGCAACGATGACCTCCGGCCTGTTTATATATACGGCAGTTCGTGACCATCGCGCGCATGGTCCAAATCTCGCGGGAGAGCTAAGTATAAGTCCAAATTCATCCGGGTCGATTAAAGGTTAGAATACACACGACAAACGCGTTTTATAGGCCAATCGATACTATTGTGTCAACCCACCAACCGGTGATCTTTGGCAGAGATATTTAGCGCAATATTATATTAAACAAATAGCCCCATAAAACAATGTACTGCAACAATGGAATATTACGAGAACTTTGCCAGCTTTATAGTTCATCTGATATTCCTCAAGTTAATTTTTTTTTTATTACACCTGATGTGAATACTTGATATTGACCATCCGTGAGAACGGAACTGTTGAACGGGATAAACGTGATGTAAAGTTACATTTTTTTTTTGCATTTTATTACAATCACTTTTTTGATGTAGGTACAGTCATTTCACATTTGTATACAAATTTGACACACTTTTTCGTCGAACCTTTAAGGCAATATTTTGTGTACATAAGTCTTGCAGTTTTGTAAAATACTATAATTGTTGAATATACATTACCATGGAATATCTTTGGCAAAAAAAAAAGCACGACCGTCTGATTGAACTTACAATAATTTACAATATTTTTCTAATCTTAAAAATGACCATAACTCTACGAGAAAACCAGTGACAATGTTTTCGATCGTGATCATTGTTTTCAACTAGACTTTCAATATTTTAAAATTAATACACTTATTAAGTATCGTTGAACTTATTTTATTAACATTGGTATATTGCTAAGTCTGTAACTATAAACATATTATAGCTACTTATTTTCTGCAACAATTTACATATTATAGAAGAAAAGATTTTTAATTTTTTCTCAACAGTTAAATATTTATTTTTTGTCATGTTATTGTATTAATTTTTACATTATTTATTTTCTTCATTCAAAACTTTAACACTGATAGCGTATAATTTATGAAATGCTGAATTATTATCGTTCTTATACCTCGATTTACATAAAACAGATTTAATACAAATCTATGCTGCAGTTACTTTTCAAAATACGTATGGCGTCAAACGTAAATAACATATTTAAGTTAATATTGATATTAAGAAGCATTCTACTGCATTTACAATTTTGTTAAGCTTTGAATTCCGAGTGGGGTGCATAATCGTCGACGTCATATCTAATAATTTTACGCCACTGACGATTAAAGATATTTTTTATGTTAATACATACTGAAGTCAGTGGATATTTTTATTTAATTGGACATGAGTTGTAAAGGTGAAATGTGTACAAAAATTAGTACATGCTAATTAAAATGTATTAATCATTATAATATACTGYAGTGTTTTTGAATAAACTGAAGTTATAATGTGCCAGTATTTCGCACAAAGATATATCTCGTGATTAAAATATATATTTTTCTTATCTTCGACTTCCTGTGGATGTTATTCTATGAATAATACATTTCATATAAAGTGCACGCATACTCATACTTATATACTATTGTTAAACAGTCCCCTATACTAACATTACCCGAGTGCGTATCGTCTTTGTACAAAGAAATTACCCCAAGACCACACACGCGGTAAAAACGTAGAAAAAGAATAATAATAAGAAGAAAGACGAGCGAGAAAATAACAGTGTTGTCGATTTATTTGTCAGAACCAAGGGAGACTGAGTAAGGGAAATCTGAGAGACTGGTTATGTAAATACACCCTGTGTTTATTTCTTTATTCCCGTTTGTTATTATTGTTATTAGAGTAATTCGAACAACTCGATTACGCTTTTGAGATCAGAGTGGTAATATTTTCCACACTTTAATTGGATAATACTTTAATGGTGATCAAAAGACGTAAATAAATGGTAAAAAATTACCAACCATAATGTTGTCCAACATTATATATACAAACGCATTAATCGTTTTGTCGTGAATGCGACAGTATTGCGTCCCAAACATGTAAAACCATAAAAAACGATATTTTTCAAGAATAATTTATAATATTATTCAAAAATATTTGAATATAAATATAGTTCACGAGCTCGTGTCTCACGACCAATAAAATGTGACAAAAAATGAATCTTGTATTTTCCAACAACACATTACCTATGTATAGACTATAATTTTTAAGTTATAATAGGTACTTTATTATAACTTTAAAAACGCGCATATTTTAGTACCTAATTTAAACATTATAATAATATGTGTACATTTTTATTTTTTATTTTAGGAATTTAGACACAAACCTCTTACTGTTCAACAACTCGTCGACGAGTTTATAGGGCCGTACTATGTGAATTACAGCGAAACACGTGCAGTTCTCGTGAGACAAGCAAAACAATTGCTGACAAACGTATACCAAGGTGATGTCGCCAACTTTCATGGGTGTTTTTGTGTGCCAGTCAGTGAGATTCTCAAAAAAGTTGAAGAGACGTTCAGAAAATATCAGGTATTTGTGATGGATTATAACATATTATCGCTTAGAAATAGTTTATAGAAATAATATATATATATATATACTATTATAAATATCAAATTGAATGCGATTAGTAAAAGTCAATGGTTGGTTAACGTCCTTGAGATAATATTGAAGTTGTAGTCGTTTCCCGAACAAATCGTGAAATCATGTTAAATGCGATTATATAAGCAATATAAGTGGCTCAAGTTGTAGCTCAAACATGTTATTGAATTCACAATGACTGTTCATGTCATTTTTGATAAATATCTTCTGCCGGTTGTAGATTTATGATGTTCGTGCACGCATTGCACTTTCAGTGGGTGCTCCATTTGTTATTGTTATTTCTAGTACTATAAGAGCAATGTAGGGGTTCGTTTTATTTACATTGATGAGGATTCTGCATTGGTCTTGTATAAAGGGTTGGTTGCATGATGGAAAAACTTACTGTTCCAGTGTGAGTGGATAACGGTGTTTTTATTCGATTAATGGAGAACATGATGAGTCATACGAAGTATACAGCAAGTTCAGTTTATTCAAACCCGCAATGACAATGAAGTGTATTTCAAATTTCCCACGTTTGCGTGTTTTCGTACTGCTAAGGGTGTAAAATAATATAAATGGCTGTATACCCATTACATATAACATAATATATATAATAGGGTTTGGAAAATGGTTGTGACAAGACATAATTTGTGGTCATACCTAATATAATTTAATTAAAACAGTTGCGGTCATGATTATTTACTGTTTTTTGTCATCGCTTTAATGGCAACGCCTCTTCATCGCCTTTCGATTATAACAATACATCGTATTATATTTTAAATTGAACTATAAATCATCTTGATGCACATACAACGTGTTTATTATCCATTAGGTATTGGCTAAATTGTACAAAAAGTATCGTGTATTACATATACACCCGATTAATATCAATTCTGTTATCTTTTATTTCTTCATTTGCCTTGTTCATGTTATTTATGCGATAACAGTATAGGTTGTAGGTACATACCTAGGCACAGGTGCTCGTATATAATTTGTTATTGTCATAACAAACAGATAATTTTATGTGGAGAATGGAACCCGTGGTTTGTATTAATCAAAACAAATTCAACGTGATTGGCGGAAAATGTTGGAGGCTCGTTTAGGCCTAATAGGTAGTAGTACCTCTGGTACCTACTTAAACACAATATTTAACTCGTTAGGTTTAATAATAATTATCAATGAATGTCTTTTAGTTACTTAGGAAATGATCACATAAGATATATACAATTTTTTCAACTATTTTAGTTGTGCATAATAAAATATGATTATACATTTATACAAGTAATTTTATAAAATAATAATTTATAATTATACTATAATACAATTTATATTATATTTAATTTGTCGTAGTGCCAATTTGTTTACAAATTTACAATAATGCAATGCAGAATTGTACTTTATATTTTTTTAGGTATAATAATAATATGTTGAAGTGATTAACTAGACATTTTTATGTAGCTCACCTCCTACGTGATGATTTTACTAATGGTTTGCAGAGATTTTTAAAACCTTCCCGAATATTATTATAATATTTATAAAATTTAAATACAATCAATTCTTATTTAAAAAAATTGTATAGGTAAGTATCTATGTACATAGTAGGAAGCTACTTATAATACAAGGGACCCTCAAACGATATATAATATTATTATGCGAATACGTCACGATGGAATTTTATTTTGACTCCTCCTGGTCCATAATTTTTGGGGGATGGACGGCACGTGTTGTAAGGATGTGAAAGTTTATCGATTTCCGTTTCGCTACCATACGCAACATTACTCGCGAAGGGCATTGTGAAAACGCGTTGGTAATAAATTTGAGGTCAGAATTTCGTCGCACTGCGTTCTGCATAACATTCAACATAAAATACCCTCGTCGACGCGATGAGAAAAATTAACGTGGAAACGATAAAATTAGGAATCGCGGGTGGTGGAGACGAACGCAGAGGAAATGACCGCCAAACCATGATTACCACCCGCTGGTCGCGAGTACCATGAAAAATATGGTCAGCGGTTTCTTAGTGGTATGCAATACTGCGGCTGGAACATGGGAGTTTAAAACCTCACCGGATTGTATCCATAAATGTTTCGACAACTTTCCGAAAGTGTCTACCCGTGAATTCCACACATAGTGAGGTCATTAATCCCGTAGTTCTCCACATGCTATTAACTTATAGCGATAAGCTTGACCAAAGCGATCACCGTCCATATCATATAAGTAAAAAGCTAAAAAGTTATCTATAAAATATGGTATAGGTACTCACGGTAACCGTGATATTTTCAGTTGTTCATCTATGCCCCATCTCAGTTTGCAAAATCTGTTTGCAATGATTATTCTAATTTTGATTTTTTTTAAGATCCATTAAATATGATATATGAAATATGATTAAGCGTCATAATAATTATTTAATTTATAATACTTTTAATTGTTTCCTATAATCTTACAATTATATATTATAAGTTATTAATTTTCAGATTACTATAAATTACTTAGGTACCCACTGTTATTTTCTTTTTTTTCATATACCTACCTTCTATGCATATATTTCTCTTTTGTATCCATTGTATTATGTCGATTAACCTGTTAGATTTATTTTAAGTATATTATTTGTATGTATTGATCAAGTATACTCCTAGATCTGCAGAGCTATTATAATTATAATATTACAATGGTATAAATGTTTAATCTCAGTAGGATATGAATTCGACGGGATGAAAGAAAAAAGTTATTGAGTGTTACACGTTTCAGTCTTTATATTCATAATAATATTAATAATATATCCGACYTAATGGCTGATATAGTTTATTTTAATAAGTTTGATTGGAGTAGCACCGATCGAGATTCGAGATATATCAAGATTTTTTTGATTTTATTTTAATACAACGATCAAATCTATAATTCAATTTATAAATAGTCATTAACATATTATACACTTAAACAAGTTTTATAAGTGTGTATAGAATACAAACTGTGTTTGCACGATTGCCTGCCAAAATGTAAATCAAATAAAAACAATATTCATTTTGTTTTATTAAATTATGCATCACGATACACATATTATATGTGTTTAAACAAAACTAATAAAACATTTTTACAGCCATGCCAATCATAACACGTTAACCACTGAAATAAAATTTGTTGAAGCTTCCGGATTCCTATAGAGTGGGTAGTAAATAAATAAAATATCAGAACACACTTCAATATTTATGACTTTGTACATCCAACACAATTATTTGAAACAATGACAGTGCCAAGATTTAGTTTAGTTTTAAACCTCTTATAGATGCCGTTCTTCATTTCCTTAATCACGAAATCTGGACATTATATATATCAAAATCACAATAGTACTTTTTAATCGGTATAGTATACCTATATTAATATTTATTATGTTTATATTATGTATTCCTATGAGCAAATTTGATAAATTAACATTTGATCTAGTAATAGAATAACAGTATTGAACATGGATTAACATAATTAAAAATGAACTCTATTTGTATTTCCATATACAATAGAATGAGGTATGATTAAAACCTATATTGAGTGAACATGTATGGTTTTTATTAGTTATTATCATCATTATTTTAACAAACGCCTTGCGTTATAGTATCTACCAAGCCTTATTGTTTGTACGTGATCGATGGCTGCTTTTTTCCTTTTATATAGAGACGAGAACAATAATAATAATAGCAATTATTATTATTATTATTATTATTATCACAGCCAAAAGAACTGTCTAGCTCACAAAAGGAAGACTAGTCTCGTCTCGTATTTATGTATAAAACAGTCAATGTTATTAAAAATTATTCGTTTCGGGCACTGACGGTCATGACCTAAGACATTTTTCCCATGTCTTATATTATACAGTCACCAAAGTCTTTATTGAATTAAATTTCGGCTTACATCAAAACCAAACTTGTTTTCAACACAGGTGATCCTATTGTGTTATTTATGACGAACAATAATACATTTTAAACATTTCTCCTAAAGTCTTATTTATTTAGATAAATATGGTGATTTAAAAATAATATTATAACTGTTTTCTCATGTATAAAATAATAGTTTTTAGGCTTGCAGAACAGTTATTTTTTACTGTTTGGAATAGTAACACTATACAACAACTTCAGTTTTTTCTTACTTAAATTGTTTATTTTCTAAATTGAAGAGTAACTGTTTAATTGAATTTAATAAATTAAAATGATACAATAAATTTGAAAAAAGTTAACTATTTATTCAATTAGTTTCAAGGTTTATTATAGTCTAATTTAATATAATATGTTTTGAACATTTTTTGTTCTTATTATGGAAGAAATTATACCAATATATTTATTTAAATGTACACATTCATTAGAAAATAATGTATAACACAGTATTTAATATTAAAATATAATTACTGAACGCATTATTTTAGAAATAACTATAGTTAACAATTACTTATGCAAATTATTAGCGACTCTTATTATTAAAATACATGATTTATTTTACTTTATATTGTATATACGTTTCAACACGTATAATAGACTTTATATCATTATAATATATAGTAGTGTTTAGATTTCATTCTATTTCTGAAATCATATTTTTAATAAATATTATACTTAGATATTTTTTAAAACGTAGTTAGAAAATTTAAATTTTTCAAATGTGCAATTTTATGTCACAACTATTAATTGTTATTAAAAAAATTGTTTTCTCTTCAAACGTCGATCACGTTTAATTTTATGGTAGGTACCTACATAGTTATTATTATATTAGTTCCTAAATAAAAAATTTGAATTATTTTATTAGGTACTCGTATTTAATATTATATTACAATTCTTATCTTATTTAGTGAACATATAAAAAACATAAAACAGTCAAAATAAATGTATAAAAATGTTGCAGTAGGTATTATACTGTTAACTGTTATTTAAATTTTGTACCTATCAATTTTGAGAGAATTTTTATTGCATGTAAATTTATATTACATGTAATATAAATTCACTCGAATATTATTATTTTACGCATGAAAAAATGTTAGTGGTGTAGATCCATATAGGTTAAGTGCGGTTAAGTGGTGTATTTCATCTTTTTTAAAGCTAACCGTATGTACATCATAAATTAATTTAAAAAATATTAATGAACCCATTGCCGTTAAATATTAAGAGTTGGTTATACCTACAATAAATCCGAGTGGATTATAATACTGTTGAATGGTATTCTTGGCTTCAATACAAAGTTCATTTCACCGCGGTCTCACCATAGAAAATTAGCTGGTAAGATGTACATGTCGTGATCATGATTGATCGTTTTTTTTTTTTCAAATAACTATTACAAAGTATTGTA